GAAAGAGTGAGAGAAGAAGCTTCTAAAAGGAGTTAAATAAATGGTTCTAACAGGAAGTTTCTACTTTAGACTAAATATATACATCAGTGTAATGGTAGAGTTGGCTTGCACTGCTAGTGAAAACTGCATCCATCTCTTCTCAGCTCCACATTCAGTAACATCATGTTGGTATGTACCTGTGTTATTGATCACAAAGGGAATATTTACACCAAGGAAATTGGAAAATGCTACAGATCATGAGGTCCCTGTCCCAAAAAACTAATTGGTAAGCACTAACCAGACTAGCATACTATAAAATGCATGTATGCATATATATTTATGTAAGTGTATGTGTGTGGGTGTAAATTTTACCAGAATGTTTTAAATCAGAAACTTTTTGCTTGTATGAAGAATTCTCTTCCATATCTCATTTTTCAAACACATGTTCACATGATCCATCATGAGGAGTGAGAATTTTGACATAAGATGAGACCTGTTGTTTTAAAGAAGAAGTTACAGTTTTTTGCACATCTGAGCCATGAGGAGTAATTTCAGCCCCACCACAGTTAATGGACACATCCCTTCGGGTCGTTATTGGAAAAGTCAGCAGCTCCTATCTGTCATCATGTGGTTGACAGAGCACATGCTTTGGATTCCAGTAAATCTGCACTTGAGTCCCGGCTTACCCATGTATTAAGTGATCCTAGATGAATTTTTCAACCTCTGAATTTCCATTTTCTTTCCTAAAAATGGAGACAAACTATTTTAGGGTGGTTGAGAAAGTAGCAAAATGCCTGTCAATATTAGGCTTAATAAATAATAACTGCTAATAAAATAATTAGCCCTGTTCATTAGAACAGACACTTTCATTGATCTGCTGATGAGCTGGGGAAGAATCCATGGGGGTGGCTGACAAGGAGTCATATAATCTGACCAAAAGTGGTCTCACTCCTCGTTGACTAAAAAACCCAGCATATGCATTCACAGGTGACTAGGTGGCAAAGGGCACCCCTCCCCGGAGAATGACAGAGAGGGAGGTTTGCCACTGAACTACAGCAGGACAGGTAAGGCCTGATCAGGTATGAGCCACTTTCGCTCTCAAGGAGCAAAGCCCTAAGGCTGGGCATGGAGGCTGGCTGTCGGAGGTTTCGTTAAAGCAAAAACAAAGGGACTTAGAACAGTCCTGCTTGTGCACACGTCTTGACTGCAAAGTATTTGTGGCAAAGTGGTAGAAGGATACCAGCCAGAGCAGAGCACGGGCTGATGCCATGTAAGACCGAATCTGTTCATGTGCCTCCCCCAGGAAACCAAAAGGGAGGTGAAAAAATTGAGGAGAGGTGAACAAGAGCATGAAAGGCCTTTTTATTCCCAATTAAGTGTGGCATGAAAGGATGTGATCCGTGTGAAAAGGAACAAGGCTGCTGACGGCAGAGAGGAGAACGCCGAGCAGTTTTAATATTTGCCGCCTGCCACTGGGAAGCAAGAGGCTGGATAATTGCCCAAATCTCATAACCTTTAATTACTCACATCCCTGAGGACAAATTAAAGAATGTGCCAGTAATACCTGAAACCAAGGTTAGAGGTTCTAGAAGCTGTCAGCCACCAGCTACCAGCTCCGTGGGCGTGCAGGAATTTTCCTTGATATTTTCACACCCTGGGGTTGGGGCAAAAGAGAGAGCAGGAGGGAAATATCTGAGAGTCCTGCTGGGCCTGCCTCCCTCTGTCTTTTTTTTTTTTTTTTTCCTTCACATTGTTTACACATGCCCCTCCTCCTGGTCTTCCAACTACCATTCCTCCCCCCAACTTCAGCTCCAAACACATAAATATCTCAGACTGAACTAACTAGCATAACGTGTTAAAAAAAAAGAAAAGAAAACAAAAAGTGAGGTGCCTCAAGGGAGAGATTCCTAGCAGTCACACTTACAATGTACTTCAGAGGATCAAAGAGGAGAATAGTTGCAATGGCCTGGCCTTCCTACCCTCGTAGCCTCCCTTTGTTAGAATTCTTTGAAGATGCCACAGAGGAGGAACTCCCCAGGGTGGGCCTCCTTTAGCTAAGGTTTCAAGAGGTGCTCCACTAAGACTCCAATGCTGGGAAGGATGTATAAAACATGAGGAACAGGAGTAAGCAGATAAGGTGCAACTGGGATGGATGGCAGAGAAAGAGCTGGGACAGTCGGGAGCCTGAGCACCAGGAAGATGCACTGGAACCAGCATGAAGGGAGCCATGCCTGTTGTCTGCCTCAGGTCAAGTAAGCTGCTTTTCAAGACTCAGATGTGCGTGGAAAGTGCCTCAGTGTCTCCTATAAACCTCTGTCTCTGTTTGCATTAGAGAATTAGGAAATGAAGTTAGGGAAATTGGTTAGAATTTTAAGTCTCAGAGCAGGACCTCCCCATTAGCACATGCAAATGTGCACACATCACCATTTTTGTTGTTTGGTGGGTTGATCTTCTCCTACTTATTTATGAGCACCTTCCTTTTTTCATAACTGTGCCCAGTTGAATAAGGGTTAGAGAAGATGGTCCCTGGAGTTGAGATACAAGTCAATTTCCTGTTGGGAAAGATAAGTCTAGCACAGCAGCAAAATCCCACATAGGATGAAATGCTAAATAAATAAATGAATTCATGACTCTAACAGAAGGGGAAGAAAGGGTTATTTATTCTTCTACAAATTCCTTAAGGACAATGAAAGTAATTTTATATTTCGGTACATTTTTAGCATTGTATTAGGATTCTTCAAAGAAACAGAACCAGATATATATACATAATATATATATATACACACTCCCATAAATGTGGTTGGAATTACCTTACCTCCCCCATTCGTGGGGTTAACGTACCTGCCACAAGTGCTCTTTCTCAGTGGTGCAGGAGGCAAGTTCTCAGTAGTGGAAATAGGACAAATGTCAACTTGAAACACTTTTTTCAAGGGTTCACTCTACTATGGTTTATTGTGCATTCTTGGGTGAGTTGCTTTAACTCTCTTGGCCTTAGTTTCTTTCATTTGTAAAATGGGATAGATATCATTTGTATTAGGCTCTATGTTGAGGATAAAATGAGGGAATGCAAGTAAACTGCTGTGTGAAATTTCTCAAGTGGCATAAATAATGAATTACAGTGGTGATGATAATTATAATGATAGACTTTCCCACTTCCAAGCTAAGCATGGCTTTTGTTAAATTGTAGCTTACCTTAGGAAACGGGAGCAGAAGTGCTTCACTCTGTATGAAGGAGGACAGTGCATTTCCTCCTGGAGTTGAAGGTCCTTGATTCCAGTGTAGGGGACCTGGGCACCAAAGACTTTGATGGCTCACCCAGGCCTTCCTACACTGGGTTTAGATTTATGAGAGAAGAGGATTTTGAGGAAAGAGTAGAAAGGAACATTGTTTTTGTGCCTGTTGCAAATTTCAATCTTCATATCAAAAGGTCAAAGGAGTTCAAATCCATGCTAGCCAGGATCAAATGTGAGGCTAGCAACAATCATCTTGGCAAATGTCTGACATGACCCACTTCCACCTTTATCCAGGCCTCTTCGTGATAGGAGTGGCCAAGGGGAGCTTGGACTTCAGTAGAGCGGAGGGGAATTATAGGAGGGAAAGGGCAGGAGTCAGTTTTTTTCCTTCAGTGAACACAAATATGTCTTTTGTAAACCTCTTCTGGGGGTGTTGGGAATGGTCAGAAAAAGGCCATCCCACTCACTATTTTCCTGAAGCTTTTTCATTCTAAACAGGTTCAGGACTAGATAAAGAAAATAAGGGACCCAGGGACAAAATTTAAGAAGGCATTCATCATTAAGACTGTGTATTTGCAAGGTGACATTTGATATCAAAGGAACACTGAAGGACACCTTAAATCAGAAATGGAATGCAATCAGCCTGAGGTAGGTACAGGGAAATAAAACGGGGTCAGGACAGCTGCTTTCTCCTGCAAAGGTGGCTTTATACAAAGATTGGGATACTTGTAATATTGACTAATAGAACTACCACCTCCCTTTCTAGGCGCCTTCCCTGATTTACTGACCATCTGTCACTGCAGACTTGTGGGGACCCAGAAGCACCAAATCAGGAAAACTGTCTGTCCCATGTTGTTTTGTTCCACTCCCCAATATCCCAAAAGCACACTTGATCCATTTCTTACTCACCTTTCACAGTGAAAATCCGTCTTCTTCATTGGCACATAGATGGTGTTTGATATATTTTGTGAAAGATTAAGTAAATACTCAAATCACTTAAAACACATTTTTAAAGGGCATAGTATCATTTTTGTCTTCAATGGAGGGAAACGGTCTCTAATCTTGTATCTGCATGTTTCATCAGCTGGTGTTCTTGGAGAAAAGTCTATCAAAATAGAATACATACATATATATATATCTATATATAGATATATATAGATATATATATATAAACACAGACTAGAATGGCTTTAAAAAAAGGAAGAAATTGAACAAAAAAAATACAACACAAAATAACCAGCAAAGGTGTAAAAAGTAAATTCTGCAATGCTGTATGTGATCTAAGCCAGCAATTGTCTTCAATTGATTTTTCTACACCAGCTAATTTTTTAGTGATTGACTAAGGTTAAAACAGTAAACAAAAACATTTCTGCTTTCTTGGGTAGAAAATTTACTTGGACCTTAAGGTGACTACATTGGAAAGACATGCCTGCCCACACTGTTTGCAGAAAGTCAATGCTGAAGTAGCTGATATTTCTCTTGCCCAGAGCCTACATTTAGATCAAATCCAATGAGGAACTCATGAACTGTGGTATGAAAGACTTAGAGCTCTCTAAAATATGTATGAAATATTGTAAAAAAGCATACACATGATGTGTATGTGTGTGCTTAAGTATGTGAGCATTTTGTAAAGGAGGATCATAGTATGGTCAGTTTCCAAAATTTAAGAACTCTGCAACATTCAAGTTTTTAAAAAATATTTATTAAATATATATTTAAATCCTATAGTGTAAAGAATATTACCTGAGAGCCACAAGATCCAGCAACTTACTAATGTTCATTAGAGAGGCAATAAACAGTCATTAAGCTTCTTTGAAGCTCAAATTTCTTAGATATTTTAATACCTTTTAAGTTTACTATCAGATGTTAGACTAAGGAACCAAATTTAGAGAAATATTGGCAACAGTTAACTACTTCTCCCTTAATCTTCAATGATGAAGCAGTTAAAACAGTATGGTTTAATTTCAGAATCTAAGTGAGCTCTGTTCAGACATAAAAATACAGTGAAAAAATTGTGCATTCTTTAGTATAACTCCTTAAGGATGTTTTTATCTACTGCTGCTAACACTAACACTTCTCCAAGGAATCTTTTAAATAGTCCAAAAAAGAAAAATTGACAAGACAGGTATCTGGACACTTTCTTCTCTTAGAAATCAAATAGAACATCTAGATAAAGAATGGATAAGTTAAAGGTGAAAGTTTAATATTGGCAGCCCAAGATTTTCATATCCCACCTTCTATAATATATTCAGACAAAGAATGTGTTCCATTTGTGCTATTTTAGTAATGTGCCTGAAGCTGGGTAATATATAAAAATAAAAATTCACTTCTCACAGTTCTGGAGGCTGGGAAGTCCAAGGTCAAAGCACCAGCAGGTTCAGTGTCTGGCAAAAGTATACTCTTCATAAATAGTGTGGGTGTTCTTAAATGGTGGAGAGATGTAAAAAGAAAAAGATTATGAACATTATGTACTCTTAAAGCAGAAGAGTGGATGAAACTCACTATTTCTGCCTTACATATTCTTCCTAATTCTATCCATAATGGGTTCACCTTCATAACCTAGTCACCTCCTAAAGATCCTATTTTTTAATTCTATCTCATTGGCAAATAAATTTCAACACATACATTTTAGGGGAACATTCATGCCATAGCAAAATAGATTATTAAAATGGAGACATAACTACTACCTCTCTGACTTTGGATAAAACAAAGGATTAATTTAAGCAGATAATTACTTAAATTTGATCACTTGAATAAACTACTATTTTATTTCTTCCACCCTACAATTTGATTTTGATGACACCGCACTGTCCGTATCTTTTATAGTTTGTGTCCCCTAAAAAATTATTGCTACAGTTGTTTTTAGTAGTTTTGTCTACTAACCTTTATACTAGAGATATAATTTATTTTCACATACTATCACCTTATAAGAGTGTTCTTAGTTTGGTTGTATGCTTACTCTTGCCAGTAAGATTTACATTTTTGTGTTGCTAGTTAGTAACATTTTTCTTCAACTTTAAGAACTTCTTTTAGTATTTCTTTTAAGGTAATTCTGGTGCTAATAAATTCCCTTAGCCTTTGTCTGAGAAAGTTTTTTCCCTTTCTTTTTTGAGTAACATAAGACTGCTGAGTATAGTATTATTTTTTGTTAGCTTTGTCTATTCTTGTTTTTGCCACAGGACACATGCACTAGCTAGAGAGAAACAGAGCGATACAGAGAGAAATTCCCTTCCAGTGAGAGAGCTACACAGCAATCCCCTTTCTTCCATTCTCCTCCTGGGATTTTGGACACAAATGCACCCACACCCAGCATAATTTTCAAGCTACCAGGTCCAGGACTCAAACTGTGGTAGGTCATGTGAGAGTCCATCATCTTAATCACCATGCCACCTTTTTAAGCCAGGTATAGTATTCTTAACTGGCATGTTTTTATTTTATTTTTCTTGTAGTTGTTTAAATACATTACTTCTTTTCCTTTTGACCTATAGAGTTTCCATTGAAACATAAACTCGGCTGATTGTCTCATGAGAGTACCCTTGTATGTAACAAGATTGTAAATTTCTATAGTGTCTCTTTGTCATCTTTTGACAACTTCATTATAATGTGTCATGGTGTCAGTTACTTTAGATTTATCCTATTAGGTGTCTATTGGATTTCTCGGATCTTTATTTCTTTTTCTTTTTTAGTTTCCAAATAGTGCATGTTCTAGAAAGAGAGAGAGAGAAAAAGGTAGAAACACCCTCAGTTGGGGCATGGTTTTCTTCCTCTCACTTTTTTTATCCTGTCTGGATTTTAGACATGTAGCACATGTGCCTGTCATGTTTTTCAAATTGGTGAGGCTGGAATTTGAACCACAGTTAGCCATGTGGAATTGAAATCCTTTAATCAGTGGTCTATGGGACTGGTTCGTTGATTTTTATCTTCTTCACCAGACTTTGGAAGTGTTTTCCCATTATATCTATAACACATAGATATGTTTCTGTCCCTTTCTTCTTCCTCCTCTTCTGGTACTCCAGTAATGTGTATATGTTATTTCACTTGATGATGTCCCGTAATTCCTTTAGGCTATCTTTCCTCTTTCTCCTTGTTTTTTTTGTTTGTTTGTTTGTTTTGTTTTGTTTTGTTTTTCTCCGTAGGGAGAATGATTTCCAATGCCCTTTCTTCAAGTTTGCTAATCCTTTGTTCTGCTCGATCTAGTCTGCAATTGAACACTTGTGTGGAAAATTTTGGTTGAGTTATTATATCCTTCAATTTGACACTTTCAAGTACTTTTTAATATTTTCTATGTCTTTGTTGACATTCACAGTTTGTTTGCACTTTGCTCTCCTTACCTCAGTGAACACCTTTATGATCATCTTTTTAAATTTCTCATCAGGCAAATTTCATATCTTTATTTCATTTGGGTCAACTTCTGGAGATTTATCTTCTCCTTTTATTTGGAAAATACTTCTATGTTTTTTTTTTCACTTTCCTTAACTTTCTATGTTGCTTTTTATGCATTAGATAAACTCTCCCAGTGGTAGAGATTGATCTCACTGTGTTTCTCTTCAGTTAGCCCAACCAAAGATTCTAGGTGAATCTAAATTCTTTGTGTTTGTCTAACCTGCTGTCTTTGTTCTTGGCTCCAAGAAATTAGAGAATTTCATGTTTTGTGGGGCAAAATGTTATAACTTATACATTACAATATTTAAAAGACTGTGGTATAAGCATAAGTGTAGCAATTGAAGGAAAAGGATATTGATCATGGAGAAAATTCTTGAGATAATTTAATGGAAAAAAAGAGCATTATTCAACAGGTTCGGCTGGAACAACTGAATAACAATGTAGGAAAAAAGTGAACCACAATTCATACCTAAAACCATAAAAAAAACAACAAAAAATCTTGACATTGATTAAGTCTGTTTGAAAATATTAAATTATATAAGTTCTAGAAGAAATTTTCAGAAAGGAAAGATTTTTTTTTAATTACATAAATCACTTACCATAAGGGAAAAAAGATCAATAAGTTGGAACTTTATCGAAATTAAAACCTTC